CGGGGAAACATCATACACGATCTTGATTCTAAAATTTGACTTCATAAAGTTAAAAGAAAAGAACATATGTCCTTAATCACCGATCATTACATCTTGTCAATAACAATAGTCAGTCAACATGACCTCATCTATTCAAACAAGATCCCGACATGGAGGATTGCGAAACGGTCAACATCACAGTAAGGAACACCGACAAAACAGAGAATTCCTTAACAGCTTCAACCAGCAACTTCAAATGCGATTATGATGTAAAACTGAAACGCATTGCTTACAGGGCACGCGTTATTACCAGATTTTGGAAGTCACACTTCCTCAAATGATAGGATTATTAATCTTTTTGTTGGTAAAGAATAACCCTTTATTTAGAGAGACTGTTTTAACTAAAAAACGAGTTCATTGCACTATTTCCCCCCGTAACCCTTGTTGAATTCTCTCTCGTTTTTTTAGTTATATATCCACATTACTTTTGGAACCGTCAGGGGAAAAAAGAAGAAGAAGAAACCAAGAACATTATCTTAATGAAGCCTAAAGCTTAGCGAAGGGGACCATTGGTAATTCCTTAACTTCCTAATGTTGTTCAAGTGGCCTTTGTTTTGTTTCCGTTCTAGTTCCTCTCCTTCCACGGGCCGTGAAATACAACAGGAGGAGGCTGCAGGGCCAACATGTGAAAATGTTGGATCCATTTATGATGATAAAGGTGGCTGCAAAGATGAAGAAACCAATTCTTCAGCTAGCCGTAGTCGGAAAAGCTTTTCCAGCTTTGCAATTGAAAGAGGTTTCATGAAGTGGGTTCTTCGTGCTAATGATAAAGATAGCGGTTTGGAAAGGGAAAGAGAGCCTGTCCATAAGGGACGAAAAGATGTCTCTGATTCACCAAAAATGGAAAGGGAACCAGAAGCGGCTAATGTTGTTCAAGAAGCAAAACATGTGAAGACGGTCAATTCTGAGGTCATGGCGGAGGAGAAAATCATAAGGGGAAGGAACCCTAGTAAGGGGGCTGGAGACAATGAGTTGATGGAGGGGGCTGCTAGCAATGGTAAGGAAAATGTAAAGGAGGACAGCATATTATATTTTCAAGAACCTCCTAGTTTCAGGATATACTGTGTTCATAATGTCTCCGTCGATGGTGATAGTAATGGAGGTGAGATTTTAATCAGAAGGTGATTAAATAATTAGGATTAGCCCACAGAATCAATATGCCTTTCGATTGTTTTTCAGGGTGAAAAATCTCCTGTAATTTTTAGGTGCTCGAATATTAGAAAATCAAGGCAGGATGATCTTGATCTTTTTTATTCATAATTTTCCGCAGACCATTTTCTTTCAGAGACTTTGGGTTTATGAGTTTCTTTGTGGAGGGTTCTTGTTGATATGAAAACACGGAGCTCAAATTCTGAGTCTTTATGGCTATAAATGATGCACAGATATATGTTCTCAAAATTAAGCATGCAAGAATAATAAATGCCAATGCATTTTAATTCTTGAGTTTTTCCTTTCCAAACCAAACACAGGCAGGACTAATTACCTTCAGGGTTTCCTAATTATGTAATTTGTTTTCTTTTTCATACAATTTATTGAGATTAATAGGCTCTCCAGCTATCTATTTCAAAAGAATTATGCACCTGATAGTTAACAGCATTGCTCTTTAGCAGTATCGCTAATAAAGTCAGCTGAAACCATTCTGATCTGTATATATATAGCTGCAATTCAATACTTGAAATGATTGTCTTTCCTAATGCAAGACTAAGAGCTTAACCCCACATTTCTGGCATTTTGCATGTATACGCTTACAGTACTTAATCACATCCTTCAAGCCTAAGCAGTGTGTGCATGTTGTTGAAACGGGTTCCTTGCAGAATTTGATATTTAACATTTCTCTTCTTTGGGCAGGGATCAGAGAGCCAGGCAGTGGAAAGAAGAAGAAAAGTAAAATCTAGACTGCTTTACGAAAAGGCAGACCTGCAGCAAGAATGAAAAAATTCCTGCTTCTCTCGTGCATCCTTCAACTCCTCAGGATAAGTGTCCATAAATCGGTTGGATAAGTTGTCTATCGACATGAGATACAAGGCGATCTTTCATTCACTGCCTTCGATTTTTTTCCCTTCGAATTCTTAAGTTTCAAAGGCAACGTTCTTATTGGAGAGAGCTCCATCTTCCCGGCGTTGGGAAGTAATATTGGGTAAACATCATTATCTTTGAGCCCCCCCTCTCCTCCATCCCTCTCTGTAGCTGCAGTTCTGCTTCTGTTTAGAAGGGGATTTGGTCAAGTCAGAATTACTGTTAACGTATTTTCCTTGAAGAAGTATTGCTCCTGTATTGAATGGTTTTGACTCTTTCGACCTGTGCACTCCATTTGTAATGTTCAAAGGTTTTCTCCCCGCTGTATATAGTACGTTGTGCAAAGAAATGCAAGTAACGTTTCTGAAAATCACCTCGTCGCTCGTAAAATTCGAACCCAAGATCTCCTATTGTGCTAACCTCGTGGACAGAAACCATATGGTGTTGAGACCTGATAGAAATTAACGTGTGTATACTACGTTAGCAATATGCTTCTTATATTCTTGGAGAAGCCAATTTCTGTCTAATTAAGAGCACACAGAATTCCCCACCTGTGAAAAAAAAAAAAAAAACTATTCAGATTGAGACTTATTGCCCCCAGTTGGGCTGCTGGGCACATGAAGTATAATTTTCCATAATGAGCTATCGCAGCATGCATGTCAACATCATGCGTGACTTTTCCTCCCAAATCAGCTCATAAACAAAGAAACTAGCCATCTTGGCTTGCTCCTGGACCAAGAAAATAATCTTTGAACGTGATCAAATCTTAAAAGTCAGAGACAAACATTAATAGATAGACTGTCATCATATATAGTCGCAGTAATGATGGAGTCAAGAAGAGCAAATTTCCTCGTTATCTTCTCAGAAATACGCAGGCCAAATATATTCTTGCTGGAATGGTCTTAGCAGAATAGAACCGCAGCCTACACATCAAATCAAAGGCAACATGGATTGCGAAAACGCCATCCTTTGGTCTCTCGCTTAGGCTTTAAGCAACAAACCTCTTTGACCACATAAAATCAACATTCAAATGACCGCGTATCTTCCATCTTTTTCTGTCCGTGTCATACCCTATGATCTCCTGGACATCGCTGGACCTTGCATTTACAAAATAATAATCCCTCTTTAAGCCATAAAGTAGAAAAGAAAAACAGTGAAATGATGAGCAGATTGTTTATGTCTGTCTTAAATTAATTGGAAGACTTTATTACTTTTAGGTATTTAAAGAGAAACATATGTTCATACTTTTGCAAAGAAGGCAACTTCCTCAGCACTGGGAGAGCTCCATTCCTCTTTTTTTTCTTTCTTTGTATAATTTTGGTCAAGGTACGCAACATCTCATGCTTCTTTATGAAGTTTGTAATCAAAGATTTAGTTGGACCGGTATGATTCGTATAAGCCTTTTTTTAGTTAATGATTCTCTAATTTTCAATGATAAACAGGCCTTAATTAGGTATAATTGTTGCAAATATTTTTAACAATCCCAATCCATGGGAGGATTAGTTTAAAGTTCCCATGGTTTAATTTTGATTTTTTTTTTATTACAAAACATCAAGTTCAAATCTTGAAAGATATCTACGAATAACCATATTAAAATGACAATGTAAATAGAAAAATTATGCGGTATATCAGACATTATATATCCCTCTCTGTCTCTCACATGATGATAACATCTATGTGTAACTTCTATGACATATTTCATTTTTTCAAAAGATAATTACAACTTTTAGCATTTTAAATAATTTCCCATCCACAATGCCGTATCATGAATGCTGTCTATACATGTACATAGATGCATCAATGCTAATATTATTGTGTTCTGCAACTACCCCCACGTTACTTGACTCTTTGTAGTTGTAATAGAAATTACAGTCATTTAAAAATGTGTAAAGATAATATTTTTTTATTTTTTAATTAATATTGGTATATCAAAACATTCTAAAAATACTTAAAAAAATTAATTTTAAATAAAAAATTTAATTTTTTTAAAAATATATAGATTAAATCACGTTCCAAACATGTTTTAAAAGAATGAATTAACAAACAAAGAAAAAGGAATAAAAATGATTTTAGATTCGTCTAGTCAAATTTATCACGTGAAAGAAATAGAAAGAAATCTTACTCAGGTTGTAAAGTCTGTTTAGGAATGTGTTAGGAATGTGGTTGTAATTGTTTTTTAAAATATTTTTTATTTAAAATTATATTAAAAATAATATTTTTTTTATTTTTTAAAAATTATTTTTAATATCAGTATTTTAAAATGATCTTGAAACATTAAAAAAATATTAATTTAAAATAAAAAAATTAAAAAAATTAATTTTTTTTAAAAACTCTTTTAAAACATAAAAATAATATTACATCACCTCAATAATTAAAGAAAATAAAAATCTTGTAAGTAGTCGGCCAAACTTGTCATGCATGTAGAAGTGAACTTAATAAAAAATTTCAATCTAATATTTGTTTAATTAAGGTCTAAATCTTGCCTTTTACTTGTTTGACTGGTCTTTTATTATTATTTTTTTATTTAGAATATGTTTGGTTGGCATCATAGTCTTCCCTAGCCAGTTTTTTTTTTTTACTTCTACTTTCCCCTCAAAAAGGGCAATGTAACACTGTTCTGGTGCGGGGGTAAAAATGAGTTTTTCTAATAAATGTTTACTTAGCACATGATTTTTCTCTTGGTTTTTCCTTATAAGGGCACAGGGTATAAATTTGACAGGATTACTCAATGAAAAATCTTCAAAATTATATGCAACTTCATCTTAGAAAAGAAAATTAATGGAGTAATTTTGATTTTTGAATCGATCAATATGGATTTGGCTTTCATGATAAAATAAAATTCAAAATAAATCTGGTATTCTTTAATACCAGTTCAATTTTAGATCAATTATAATATAATAAATTTGATTAAAATATAATTCGTGAGCTAAAAAAATATACCATCATAGAAAAAGTTTGGATCTTTTTTTCAAAATTTAAAAGTTTCAGCCTAAAATTTGAAAAAAAAGAGAGTAAAATTAACTAAATAAATAACCCATAAAAATACCTCTAGTTAAAATTAAAATGGTATATTATTAAATTCATTAGTACAAATTCATAATTGCAATAAAATACAATAGAATTTAAAGTAACGCTAGATTGATCAACAAATTTTGATGGTTGTGGGTAATGCATGTGGTAGAACAACAGTGAGTTTCCAACAATTTTTATCTTAGCAAATAAGGGCTAAAATGGTAAATACAGAAACTGAAGATCTGCCCAAATTCATTATCGGTCAAAACGAACGATGGTTTTAGTTTCTGGAACTCTTCTATCCTTGTCAGCAATATCTGACTTTGACTAGCCTCCTTCCTACAACCGAAACCACATACTACCCCGTGAATCTCCCACGCGTCACAGTCTCAAACCACCTCATTCCCCTTGAATTACCAAACTACCCAGGTACTGGCACGTGCCGCCCAATAAACTGTAGCTCTGAATGCTTGCGGCAGGCATTATAAAAACCCACTATTTCTTTGAATAACAGCTTTATTTGCTCGTTTTCTAAATTTTAATCAGTTACGAGTCGTTTTTGACCAAAACAGTTTTTTTCGTCTCTTTCCTTTTTTTTCTCCTCCCTCAATGTCGTTGAGACTATCGAATTGAATCTCTCTCTCGCTCTCTACCTAATTCACTCTCTTTCTAAAATCCGCTGAATTCGAATTCTCTCTGCTTCGTCTCTGTGAATCTTTCACTGTAATTAGGGTTTTGAGGAAAATGAAGTCCAAACTGAGAGGATTTAGACTGAGAAGAAGCGAACCGAAGGAAAAAATTGACTTCTTACCTCCTGCTCAGTTAGATGAGCTCGCTCAAGCTGCTCAGGTACTCTTTTCCTCCCTTTTCCATGTTTTTGGAGTTGATCCTTTTCTTTTTCTTTAGCTCGACCATTTAATACTCTCTCTTTAAGCTCCTCTAAACTCTTGTTAATCTTGATTACTAATTTTTAACATTAATTCTCTTTTTTTTCCCGTTCAATTTGCGAGAAAAATTAACTCCGGAAGACGTATTTTATTTTATTTTATTAAATAATTGACATATCTGATTTTTTTTGTTAATTAGAAATTTAGATCGTATTAGGTGTTAAGTTTTGGGATTGAATTTTCCTTGAATTTTTACCTTTTTTTTGGTTGTCTCTAATTTTGATTTTTATTGTTTTTTTTTTGCAGGATATGAAAGACATGAAGAATTGCTATGATAGTTTACTTTCTGCAGCTGCAGCAACAGCAAACAGTGCATATGGTAAAACTACTAGTCTTTGTAGCTTTTGTTATTCGGCCGTTTCCAATTAGAATTTGTTTTGGGTTCAAATAGTGAGCTTAATTTTGAACTATTTGATTTATTTTGAGTCAGAAAATGTTGCTGGTTTTCATTAATAATATCAGAATTTACACTGTTGTAAATAATTTTTTATAACTTTACCTACTTTAGTGTTACCGTACTTTGTCATCTGGTATTACGTTTACTCTCGGTGGCTATATTGACTTTTCCTTGTTAAAGCATTGCATATGTAATCGTGTGATTGTTTATGTTAACTGGTTTCGTTAAATTAAACTATGATATATGCATGTGGTAGTGTACATGTCATGTATAACTTGAATTATTGTATACACGGTTTGGCAATCTTTTCTATCTTTTCCATCTGCACTTTCAGAATTCTCCAAACTGACTCCATCTGCACTTTTTTTTGTCGAAGAATTCTCCAAACTGACTCCATCTGCACTTTCAGAATTCTCAGAGTCGTTGCGGGAAATGGGTTCTTGTCTGTTGGAGAAAACAGCATTACATGATGATGAAGGAAGTGGTAAGTGAAACAAGATAAATTAAGATGCAGGTTATCCTCAAATTTTTTTGAGATGTATTCCATGTCATGGCATGCTTTCTAAACTGTAGCCTGGAATTTTATGGTTAACACCTTGTCATTGAAAGTCACAGTTTTCATCAATCTGGAAAATATATACTGTACCAATCATGCTCTTTTAAATTTATGTTGGAACGAGTTTGAACATAATGAAACAAAAATATGGACTTTGGCTTTCTCTCAAATACATGGCATTTTCTTTTTTGCAAATAAAGTCGCTGATTGCAAATGTGGGATGAGAGGGTCTATTAATTCAGTCATCTAAGTGGTCTAGTTGTTCTACTTTAAATTGAATGTATTTTTATACACCTGACAATCTGTCCCCTTAATAATGGTCATGTTTGTGAGCTTATGAGTGATTATTCCTTTAGTTTGAGCTGATTAGTTATTAGCTCGTCATTAATGAAATCATGTGCCATTTTTTTTCTTGTATTTGAGTCAGATAACATTCAACTCTAAGACATGTACATATGCCCGCAAGCAAAGCTTATCAGCTAAAAATATCTCTTTTCATTTGTGCGAATAGACATTCCAATTTTGTGGATGTGACT